GTTTGAAGCTCGATTGCCAGGAAGGGCGCAAGAACGATGGATTCGTGACGATGTTGCAATGTTCGTTGTCCGCAAATACATCGAACAAGTCACGCAGGTTGCCAACAGGCTGTCGCGGAGATCCCGGCGGTGCTTACGTCGGAGGGCTACAGATGGCCGCCATAAAACAGAGGCTTGCGGTGACGGCAGAAAAGTGACTTATTACTCTTTTATTATTTACTCTCTAGTATTTACTCTAATGTAGGAGGCTGCAAAATATCCTCTCACTGTTCACTGAGTATTTGGAGTGCTATTGACCGAGACTCGCTTGACGAGCACCTGCGCAATGTCTCGGAAAAGCGGTCCCCGTATGCATCCGCATTGCAGCATTATGCTAATTGTAGGAGCCTGGGCAAAGAAGCCGAAGGCTGCGACTAGCTAGTAAATTCCATTCTTCTCTACGCAGCCCCTATTTGGGCTAATGTCATGGCATTCATCATAACGCCCGTGGGCAAGTCGTGCATAGAAGTCCGCCTTGCGGTTGCTCGAAGCGTTTTGCACCCTATTCTATGATGCTGTGTGTGTTTAGCAGATATGCCTCCGATCGACCTCATTGCGCAGGAGAGCAGCTAGTCTCTATTGCGCAAGCGGGAGGGGGGACTTCAAAACTGAAATACATTACGAAAGAAGAGAGGGAGACAATGGACCAATGCAACGACGATGGAGCAATCATCAACTGGCCGATGGACAGTTCGGGTCATTCCCGACATCATGACGGGGATCAAAGGGAATTGAGAATTAGATTTATCTAATCAGATGCGACAGGGCAGGAGTTATCGCAAAGTATCAGCTCAGATTCCGTGGACGTAGTCCTCGATGCCCAAGTGTTTCCGGTGATTGAAGATGTAGAACACGTGTTCTTCATTGTCCACGCTTTCACAGTGGAGAGGCAAGAACTTCACAACTCCCCAAGAGAAGTTACCCCTGAGACCATCGCTCACTAGGATGCGCTGACACAAAAGTATTGGAGTCGTAGCCACCTATGCCTCAAGTCCTGAAGACCGCTCCCCTCCGAGGATCAGTTACGAAGAAGTCTCCACGTAATATTTCGGTTGAAGTGCGAAAAAACCATCCTTCCTTCTCGCGATGCCAATGCCTGACGCGGTTCCCCGGAAGGAATAGGAGGAAAAGGGAGGTTTTTTTAGTGGGTAGGCATAGGCTAGCGATGAATCCCACACGCTCGGGTTTGCGGCCCCGCGTGTCTTTAGAAGATTTTCCCTGCCCACGTAAAAAAAAAATTTAAAAAAATAGACGAGAAGTCGGACAGACAGTCATAAGACAGAGTCATACAGACAGGAGTCGACAGACAGAGCGGACAACAGAGTCGGACAGACAGCAGTCGGACAGACAGAGTCGGACAGACAGAAGTCGGACAGACAGAAGTCGACAGACAGAGTCGGACAGACAGAGTCGGACAGACCAGAGTCGACAGGACGGAAGTCGGGACAGACAGAGTTCGGACAGTACAGAGTCGGCAACAAGAGGTCGACAGACAGAGTCGTGACAGACAGACGTCGACAGACAGACGACAGACAGAGTCGGAAGACCAAGTCGACAGACAGAGTCGGACAGACAGAGTCCGACAGACCAGAGTCGGACAGACAGAGTCGACAGACAGAGTCGACAGACAGAGTCGGACAGACAGGTCGACAGACAGAGTCGGACAGACAGAGTCGGACAGACAGAGTCGGACAGACAGAGTCCGACAGCACAGAGTCGGACAGACAGAGGTCGGAAACAGACAGAGTCGGACAGACAAGTCGGACAGACAGAGTCGGACCAGACAGAGTTCGGACAGACAGAGTCGGACAGGACAGTAGTCGACCTGTCAGAGTCGGACCTGTCAGAGTCGGACTGTCAGAGTCTGACTGTCAGATCGGATGTCAGAGTGGACTGTCAGAGTACGACTGTCAGAGTCGGGACTGTCAGATCGACTCCAGAGTCGGACTGTCAGAGTCGGACTGTCAGAGTCGACTGTCAGAGTCCGGACTGGTCAGAGTCGGAAAGAGGACTTTGGGGTCAGAGTCGACTGTCCAGAGTCGGACTGTCAGAGTCGGAACTGCTCAGAGTCGGACTTGTCAGAGTCGGACTGTCAGAGTCGGCACTGTCAGAGGTCGGAACTGATCAGAGTCGGACTTCAGAGTCGACGTCAGAGTCGGGACTGTCAGAGTCCGGCCTGTCAAGTCGGACAGGCAGGGTCGACGACTGACAGCCGTCGACGGACTGACAGCGTCGACGGCACTGACAGCGTCGAGACGGACTGACAGCGTCGGACGCGACTGACAGCGTCGGACCGACTGACAGCGCTCGGAACGGACTGACGGACCTCGCGGACTGACGACTGACGGACTTCGAGCGACTGACGGACTCGACAGACGACGGACTCGGACAAGACTGACGGACTCCGACCAGACTGACGCGAGCTCGGACAGACGTCGGACTCGACAGACTGACCAGACTCGGACAGACTTCGAGGCGTCGGCAGGGTGGTTGAAAAAAAATTTTTCGCTATCGGGGACTCAAACGTGGTTTCCGCCGAATGTCCCGGTAATAATCGAATATCACAGATTGCATAACTTCCTTTATTCTAAGTAAATTGCCTCCGTATTTTAATTATTACTATATTTCCCCTACATGGCTTTTAGTTATGAGTTAAGCTGTTTATAGGATTCTTGATTGTGCAGAGTATATTAAAGGAACTTTGATTCTAGGAGCATGCACCCTAGACAAGGATTAATTGAGAAAACATAAGTTATACGACACCAATTGATACTTTATACAGTGCAATGTACACCATTTTCTATATATTATTGTGGAACTGGGTAGTTTTTTATATAATAAATATATAGCTGAATTTTTAAATAATATATATATATGTGTATATATATATATATATATTAAAATTCAGCTTTTGTAGATCAAGATTCGATTAAACGGTTATCGGGTATAGTTCATAGTAGAAACGCCACTTTTGAACACTATATTTGGTAGCATGATGGCATTACTTAAGAATATATGGATATAGGTACTTCACTCTAGAAACAAACTCTGCAATTTAGTGTAATATTTATTGAAATTGCTAAAGAAAGTAAGTAGAAACTGGTGGTATTTATCTACTTTCTTTCAAACAATAGAGACTAACGCCATACACTCATAAGTATATCCGTTTTCTCCATAAGAATTGCGCATTGGGTAAAAGGCTTAGTCTTGGTGTGTCCTACATTCTGGTAGAGTGCCAATGGTGCTAAAGATAGAGGTTTTTCCTTACTTTATGAATTAGTGACAATTTAAATAATACAATATTTCGATTGGATTTATTTATGAGTTAAACATAATATGGATGTCTTTGAACACGGTCAAATAATACAAATCTTACGAGATATTATAGATCGTTATGTTGATTGTGGGAATGAATAGAAACGCTCATCTTTAGAAAGTGCTGTGAATTCAGAGCTCTTTTACTTATTTTGCTACAAATGCACACTATGCTCATTCGGATCATTTCTTGTTACAGATACGGCGATATAGTGGCAGTAACTAAACTGGAACGTGTAATTGTTTCGTTTGCAATGATAATGGGTATATTCTGGATAGGTATAGCTGTAGCCACACTAACTAGCTATCACAATGATGCATCTCAACATCATTTCGAATTTTCTACCCATCTGCGACTAATTCATCAAGACTTGGTAATTAGATTTGAGAATGAAGATGAAATTGTTCAATTCAGTTGTTCTGTGGCACACATACCGTCATTGAACATGTTGTGGGAAATTTTCTATAACAAAGTTACACGTGTGACACTTGCTCCTGATTGGTCGGCAACCCATCATGAATTGGTGTTTGGCTCTCCTTCCTTTACGAAATCTCTTTAATTGCGTTGGATCTGCCAAACACCATCGCGGGATGGCTTGCGTTCCAATTAGGGGTACATGCCAACTTCTAGGGCACCAACCAGAGGACCTCTTTTATCGGGACACGTCCTCCTCTATATGCTTTAGTCCGGGGTCCGAGTGGATGTTTCAAATCTCACGAAGTACCCTCCTTTTCTTAACTTGTTCGTGTGCGAGCTCAAGCCTGTCTTCTATCTTTAGGGTTTGCAATTCCTGAAATATCACCAATTTTTAAATTTCTACAATGGTTAATAGATTGTAATTTTGAATTTTTTTGCATTGTGTTATTTATAGGAAGACAGAAGTAACCTCTGTCATCTGCAATTCGTACTTTTAAACATAATGAATGGTTCTGTTTCTCCACTCCTTTCAATATTTTAAACACGATATGGTTTTTCGGACATGGAAATAAAAATATTCATTTATTGTCAAAAACAGTAAACACTTTACCTAACTTGTGAGAGAGAAGTACAATTTGCAAATCTGCAAGTTTTCTTGAGTTTTAGAATAGATATATTTTCCATAACAGAAAATATTATTAGTAATTTTAAGAACGAATTGTTGGGAACATTTAATAACAAGAAATGTCTCTGCCATGAAATGAATATTGTATTGGTGTAATAATTTCATTGGAAAGCGATGTACAAATTTATTCTTAGAGTAGTGGTAAAGGAAAAAAATACCACATCTAGAAAAATCGTAAGCTCAAGAAAACTTTCACTAATTGAAAAGTTACATCTCAGCTTCCGTTCAGGGGATCAGGTGAAACGGAACAAAAACCAAGACGGAACCCAAACGTGAAAAAAATCTCTTAGGATTACCCAGTATTTTTAATTATACAATACAAAAGATTAATATTATTCTTATAATAAATGGTTTCGTTTTTTAAAATCACTGTAGTCTTTAATGCTATATAAACTCTTCGCTGCAGAAAATATATTAATTTATACACATAATTTTATTGACTCATGAAGATTACGATAAAAGTACATGATTACCCTTCGAGATATTCTACCTTCCAATACTAATAACACAGAAGTACCATGATTGTTGCAATTTTTGTTTCAGAATGAAAATAGAAATGTTTCAAATTGGATCCGTGAGAAAATTTTCGATTATTATAGTAATATATGGGTACTGACAAATGGAACTGTTTTCTCCAGACTTTTTCAAACTCTGCCTCTGAATATGAGAAATGCGGCAATTACTGACCGTTATTGGGAAGCATTAACAAAAGTAAGTGTTTGTTTTAAATGTTCAAACAACTGATAATCCAAAGATGCTAAGTTGACAGAATAACGACATAAATAACCCTTGTAGTTTTTGTTTGTTTGTTTGTTTTTCAAAAACTGTACAAATGTAATTTACGTTAATAAAAAACGTTAACAATATTTTTTTCGGAAACGGACCAAATTTATAAAATGTGTAGGATCAAATTGAGTAAGGTTTTCTTAATAATATGAAATATGTTTTATTTTCATTAAGTAATTTGTAAAATTACAAAAGTTCATTTATTTTCTAACCGACCCTATATCTTTAATATTGGAGCTAGGGTATCTTGTGTAATCCAAAGTATTCCTCAACATTATGTCTTCCAATATTACTTGCAAGGATTAGCAGTGTTCGCGTAATTTGGAGAAGAAATGCCCCGAGTTGCCGTTTCTGAGCGAGAGAAACACCCGGCTTCCTGTAGAGGGTTGGGGTTTAAATCTCAGTCAGACTACGTATGTTTTGCTTTTTTAAAAGCTAATAAATAGAATACAAAATGTCAAAATGTCATTTTTATTCAAATTTTGTAAAAGCAAAATACCAAACTCTAGTGCTTCGTTGTTTTACAAGAGTTTAACGACCGCTGATGGGCCAATGGGGTGAACTTTCAATATTATATTACGTAACAATTACCAATACACGAGAAGGTATGAGCTGTTGGAACACCTCGATTTTTAATTGTCTTTTACCTGTATCGATGGAAAATGAGTATAGTGTCGATTCTGTTCCGTTCAGAACCGAGTTGTATAGAGTGTCTCAGACTCTTCACGACAGCTTGTGGCTGCAGTTTTCGTGAAATGGCTGTAGGATTTTGCTTACTCAATGAAATAAACGCACTGGAAGGAAGATAATACAACTTTACGTGCATTATATCTAAACGCAGATATAAAAACATATTAAAAATTGTCATAACCTTTGAAATTTTGATGATTTTTCTTTTTTAATGAAGTTATCTGTACGTTTAAAGCTCGTTAAATATATCGAATTTTATGAAACTAACGATAGTCGGGAGTGTTTAAATTTATGATTTTTTAATTAATACATTGTTTTGTTTTTTAACAATGTGGGGGGTGGAGTTTTCTCGATATCATTTCAGCAACATAAAGAGGATTCCATCTGCTGTGAAAAACTGCCAATTTTGGATGAAAATTTTGGAAGGTATGATAATTTGAATTTGTCCCATTTTTTTAGTTTACTGGTGGCCTGCTTTCGAGCTTTCAGGTGTACACGAAATGTACATTTTAAAATATTTTTTCAATATACATTATGTGATCAAAAGTATGAAATGCCACGTGGCTGAAAATGACTTACCACTACGTGGCGGCCTCCATCGATAATGCTGGAATTCAATAGTGTTGGCCCACCCATAACCTTAATGACAGCTTCCACTCTCGCAGGCATACTTTCAATCAGATGCTGGAAGGCTTCTTGGGGAATGGCAGCCCATTCTTCACGGAGTGCTGCTCTAAGGAAAGGCATCGATGTAGGTCGGTGAGGCCTGGCACGAAGTCGGCGTTCCAAAACATCCCAAAGGTGTTCGATAGGATTCAATTCGGGACTCTGTGCATGCCTGTCCATTATAGGGATGTTATTATCGCGTAACCACTCCGCCACAGGCCGTGCAGTATAAACAGGTGCTTAATCGTGTTGAAAGATGCAATCACCATCCCCGAATTGCTCGTCAACAGTGGAAAGCAAGAAAGTGTTTAAAACATCAACGTAGGCCTGTGCCGTGATAGAATCTCACAAAACAACGAGTGCAAGCCCCCTCCATGAAAAAACGACCAAGCCATAACATCATTGCGGATGTGTCCGGATATTTTTGATCCCATAGTGTATGTGAGCGTAGCTTTTGTGTAATTCCAAGACTCATATTTTCATTTGTCGTCGTGGACCTCTCGTAGTGCACCCTCTTGCGCGATCTGGACTTCGCCGCAAAGAGAGCTCTTGCTACGAAGATGCGTTCTGAGATTTATGTGAATGGGGACATTATTGTGAGACAAGGCGAACTTCGAACACGTATGATGTTCGTTGTGCGTGGCATTGTAAAGGTAAGGATGACAACGCCCCCCCCCTTTTTTCATCAATTCGTTACATTTATTTTTTGTTCAGACTTAATTACATTAATTTCATCGTAAAAATGGGTACATTCATTTCCCTAGTGAGAAAATACGTTGACTTCTTTACTGTAACCAACCGGAGAAGAATCTTAATTAATGCTGTAATGAGAAAGAACTCATAACTTATCTTTGTTAGGTGGGGAAAGCAACTGTAGTTGCCATCTCTGAAGTTTCTCACCCGGAGAATTTATATTATGCATTAAGTGGGAGGGGAGGGCGGATGCAAAAAATTGTGTCAAGGGGAGGTTTTGTGATATTGTCTAAATATTAATATTTATTAATATATTGACAGTCTGTGACAAACATAAATTCTTCCAAATAAACAAATTCCAATCAACTCTAAATTTTGTGTGTAACAAAACTAATTATCGTATGTAAATTGTTTTACGAATAAACTTAAATAGATGAATTTTTGATGGTCTTTAACGCCTTAAAAAGATATTCCTATTGAAGATGAACGGAAATATTTCCTTTGCTAACATTAGGAAGGCATATGACATAGAAATGTACAAATGTGTGTTTGATTTGAACTAAAATAGTGTTTGAATGCACTAAAAGAAACTAATGAAAATGTATACTTTTTTTCTGTTTCATTCATCAGAATGTTATGAGAATTACATGTTTCTTTTTTAATAACTTTATCACTGTAATCGAAAAGTATCCCGCAGATAACATGAGTAAACCCGAAGCTCGAAGATTATATTTAAGACCCAAAGTCTCTGCGTCAAAACCCGAAAAGTAGCAACTCTAAACGTAGCCTTCGTACAGAATGTATTTTTCCCAGCGCTACTTGTAGGCAATCGTCGATTTTTACGAGAGTAAAAATTTTCATTAAGGTCACTTACTTATTTCGAAACTTTTAGTTGTGTTCGCGTAATACTGCGAGCAATACGTGCAATTTAAAAAAAATACAATAACAAGATTTTCTCAAAAACATCTGCAAATTTTTTCTATAAACTTTTGATGAGGATAGTGCTAAATGTACTCTATGAAATTACATAAATGCCATATTGCTCTATTCCTTTTTTTCATATTGCTCTATTCTTTACAAAAATGTAATTTTTTAACTTGCTTCTCAGGTCGTTAATTTACATTATTGGCAATTTCTTCTCATCATTGTATTTACTAGTACATGTGCTTTAAGTAATGTCGTAAAAAGTGTCTTGAAATCTCAATCATTTTCTGTGAAAATAGCTCAAAATTTCGTATTTTCAGAATTAAATTTAATCTGTGTCTGAGGACACTCTAGGCACAAACGATGGAAGTGACTTGTTAGGATGACAATACCATTGTCAGGTCCAAAAAAATAATTATTACCTTTCAACATATAGAATCAATTTTTAAAATGTGAAGTTGGTCTCTGTAATTCGTCTTATATATCACTGATCTTGAACAAACAGGTTGTCTCAACTGATTGTTTTTTCTCGTAATTTCTTTAGAATATTCTTTTAAAACATATTACACCCTGTGTTTGTGAAATTTTGAGCGTTTTTATTCTTTTATTTTGAAAAAAAATCATTAAAAAGGGCGGTAAAAATGTTTATTTCAATGCACACTCTAAGAAAGCGAATTTAAGATGTAGAAAGTTGTAATTATTCAGTATGGATGGATATATGTGTGTATATATATGCCTAAATATGCCTAAAACGGAAAATGCCTTCAAGTGATCAATTGTGAGATATTTAAGTGAATTAAAGGAAGGGTATACAACATTTGCACGACAAGATTTCATGAAATATTGGATTACTATCTTTTCCAGGTTCTTTCAAGCGAAGATACAGAAAGTACTATTATGTTGTTAGGTCAGGGAAGTTTGTTTTGCGAAATAGCCTTGATGCTTTGCACACCCTCTCCAGTGCAGCTAGAAGCTGGATCATTTTGTGAATTACAAATATTGGATAGGGAAAATGTATACCTCACTGCAGTAGTATACAGGCAAATAAGCGACTTAATATTCAAAACGTTTATGGTAAGTACATTTAAAAATGAATGCAGTTCATAAAGCGAAGTGAGTTGGTCTAACGCCTTAAGAAATTTAGTATGATGTAAAAGTGAGATACATGTTATTCAGTTTTGGAACTGAAAATTCAAAACAATGTGGGATAGATGCTTCTCATCACAAAATGAAATTGTAACAATTTTTAGAACCGGTTCAAGAGCTGGTCTGACATTTTTTCTAAAAAATAATACTTTATGCTTCAAACACCAATTTTCTGAGATATTTATCTTTACTTGTCTTAGACAAACCATCCCTTGAAAATGTACAATTAAATCTTTCCTGGAACTGCTATAAAATACGACAAAACTACAAACACATTTATTCAAATTGTTTTCTAAAGAAATTTGTGGAAAGCCTTGCGATGACAAACTGCGTTTTATGTCATTCTATCCTGAGAATCACGCTTGTGTGAAGAATATCATAGAAGGTTTCTGGTTAGATGTTTTAAATTATTTTACTTCCAAAAGTGTTAAAAATTTCTTACAGAACCTCTGGGATAAAGCATTGGCTGACGAGGAAATAAAAAAGAAGGAGTCTGCTGTGTCAGAAGCTCTGGGCATGTAAGTATCTTATAATAATATTTAAGAATATCAATACTGCTGCAATTAGTGACAAACGTAAGTGTTAAAAGGTGTTAATCTCAGAAACTACGCCAGAAAGGTTTAGAATAATTAAGTATACGGTAATTTATTAAAGTGAAACTTTTTATGCGGCGTAGTTCTGCTGTAGTACATTATTTGGCAAGAAATGAAAGCACCAAATGTGTTTCGAGCTACGAAGGCGACGTACTATACCTTCAATTTCCAAGCCTTCCGTTCGCCAATTCTGCTTTTTGTCAGCGGCCATGATTGGCTCAAACCGAGCAGCTTAGTGCTAAAGAAGCCTTCCTTACCATGGTGAAACCAGACGTCTGAAAAGTGAATGTCGTACTGCGGTATCTATTATTATCGTACAATTCTCGTTTGGCGGGAATATCAAATTATCGTACAATAATTAAAATATCGTACAAAATTATCGTACTTCAGTTTTCTTAATTTTAATAAATAATTACCTCCATTTTTAAGAGATTGTGAATACACAATCTCTTAGTGGAAAATTATTTTTTTTATTGTCTTCCAATTTTGTCTCTATCGTAGAGCATTACTTAAGAGAAATATTTGAAGTATTTTCACGAAGGTACTTTTCAGTAAACATAGAATAAAAATACACTACTTTAGAGTCTTTTGCAAAAATCATCATATATACACTAAAATTTTACGTTATAGTAAGAACCAAGACGTTGAAATTGTGCATTTAAAATCAATTATGTGGAGATATTATGTGACATATTTTAAGTTTTACTTTGTCGGATACGTATGTACGAGTATATACGTACGTATAAATAAGAGTAATATACGTAATATAAAGTTATGTAAAGCTGCGAAAAATCAATTTCAACATTTCATTGGAAACACACGTTTTGAAGTCCCATGATACCAAAAAAGTGTTGTTTTTCTTTACAAAACGTCCGTGCAACTGCGAACAACACTAGCGCCTAAACTAATCGTTTTCCCCCATATGAATATTCCCCGGTCGATGGGACCCACTCAAAACTCTGCGATTTTGAAGCACCTTTAAATTTCATACAAATCCCCAGTGACCTTTCCAAATTTTCTCAAAAATTGCTCCAATTGTTTTTCGTTAAATTTTCTTGTAAGAATAGAGGGAAATATACTTATAAGATGGTATAGGTCGGATTTCAGCTGTTAATTCTGAATTTTCAAAAATTGCTGGTTTGAATTTTTTCGGCATCTTCCTTCAACTACAGTATTGAAGGTAAATATTTTTTCTTCAAATCAAATTTGTTCTGTACAATTAGTTAATTCATTAACGACATATATATTAATTTTTTGTTATATATTTGAATATTGTCTATATTGCTATTAGATGTGCCCCAAAACTAGTTTTCGAACAAGTTGGGGTAAACCATAGGCAATATTCAAATTTTAAAAACAATAATTTCTCGAAAATGACACTAAATTTTTTCTTTAAATTGTTCGAACGGATAGTGTTAAGGGAACCAAATAACATTACTTAAACGACACTTTCATGTAATTTTGTTTTTCAAAAATTACATACATGTATTTTTTAAATATCTTTTACGCCGTTAATATTTACAGTACTAGCAATTTGTAAACACTATTGCGTTGGAGAGTACAATTACTTATAATTTCTTATACAGGTGCTCGAAAACGCAGAAGTTTTGACTAAAAATTAGCTTCAAAATACGCATTTTCAGAAACGCTCAAACATTTTCTCAAAAACTACTTCAAATTTTTTAACGCAAATTTCTGTAAAGGGCGAAATTTTGTTTTTCTCTATTATTATTAAAGGCAATTTCAGTTCTTCTATTAGGGACTCGTAAAATTGAGAAAAATATGAAAAAATGAACTTAGGGCAGCGATAGAGGTCAGCTGGGAGGAGGGTGAGGCAAAAACTAGTCTAGTCCTTTGAAATTAGAAAACTATTATAAGAAAGTATGTGCCAATCAGTAGCATCAATAGTTACCTAAAGTGATGTGTAATTAATATTTGCGTATAAAGAATTATGTGAAGAAAACATCAATATATGCTCTTAGCAAACATTTTCTTTACGAAACTGTTATTTACTCTCTACTTTTACGTAAATTGCGACACTTTATTGCTTTATTAAAGTATTTTTTATTTTCAGAAAATCGGTCGACGTGAGTGAAGTGAAATATACTGATGATGAATATGAAAATCCTTACACATGGTTGCATGAAGATGAGATGGTACATCTCGTTTCACGACCAAAAATTGTTCAAAAAACTTTGGATGTGTATGTTCCTTGTAAGGTTAGTGTATAATTTTGTAAACTCACTACAATCAATATTAAATCAGCATATAGTAATTTTCTGGTAAAATAGGTTTCATAAATGTGTTTTCACGTGAAATGGCATTAATAAAATATCGTAACTAGAATGTATTTCTGAAAAACAATCAACAAATTGTTATTACAATTGTAAACTAGTGATGGTACAACAGCAAATATTTTATCGCATTAGTTCTAAATTTGCGTTTATCTAATATTCTGGAAGTTCAACGAAAATGAGACCTGAGCCATTCTTTTAAGCGTTCTTTGGCCCATCCGCGGGAAAACTTTGGGGTGTTTTTTTAGTGTTTTTTATAAATTGCAATTATGTCAAGTCCAAATTACAGAAAAAGTACTAGTTTTTCAAAAAATTGTACATTATCTTTTCTTCTTAAAGAGCTAATTTTTAGAAAAAAAATTGTATAAGACAGAACTGTCTACCAACAATTTTTAAATGTTAAAATGATGTAATTTTTGAGAATACAAAGCGTTTGCAGGAAGTGAGACTAGCACTAGTTTTCACGACCTTTGATACATACGAGGGTAAAAATTAAGGAAAAGATGAGAAGCCGTTTTTGAGGGGGAAAAACGTCTTGGTTCGAGGGCCAAACTGCTGGTTGAAAACACTTTTGCAGGTTATTGTAGTAGTATAATATTGCGAAGCAGTTAGAAAGAATGGAAGAAAGTATATGCTGTTGTAGCACCATTAGTTAATCTTTCCCTTAATAACGACTCCTCAAATCCCAGCTTTGTGTCTCCTTTTCTTATCGAGAAACCCTTCGGAATGAGTTGCTGCGCTTCGTTTATGATATCCTGGATTAACAGGTGCAAATGTTTGCTCTTTATTGTGTACACTACAAAAAAAGCCAAAGGTTATACCAATAAAAAATTAATTAAAAAATATTTTTCTCAAAAGTAATTGTATAAGGTTCATCTTTCACTTCGATTTTTCGAATGGGGCAATCCCTTGTATTCTGACGTTCATCCCATTTAGTGCGCTGATCTCTCTTCCATGTGAACAAAACAGATAAACAAGGGCCGTGGACAATAAGAAACACCTTTAATCAACACGAGAGGCTATTTATACGCTACATTAGGACATCCTAAATGAAACGTTTAAACAAGTTTTGACGATCCCGAATGTCAATTACGATTTAATTGAGATCTCTAAAGCATTGTACACTCCTGGCCAGGGTGTATTAATGACTTGCGTAAGTTAAAATATTCTAAAATCGTGCTTAGAGTAATAGAGGTTTGTAAGTAATGTGCGTGAATTCTGTACATATCAATTTGGATACTAGACCAAGCATGCTTTATGGCCCCAAATTTTCAGATTACACATCTTCTCGCACGCATTAATTTTAAGAAGCCTTTTCGTGTAAAATAATATTTACTAACTATAATTAAAATTATCCACGTTTTTTAGGGAAAATTGTTTGGTCTGATATTATGTTAACTGTTACAATCAGTTTTCTGAAAATGAAGGAATTAGATAAGTCGGCCTCCAATAGGAAAATATTTTACTATAAGTCACGATACTGCATTTAGCTTTATGAAATAAATGGAAATATTTTACTTGCAGCAAGTTGTAGACAGAATGCGTAACAAATTGTAAACAAAAATAATAGAGAACAATGTATGATTTGCTTTTGATAATAGACACACTAACACTGATGTTACTGAAGAAATAATTTCTGAACCAAAACCTTTCATAGCCACATATTTTACAATATACAAGTAACAAAAATAATAGTAAACAAAAATAATAGTGAACAATGTATGATTTGCTTTTGATAATAGACGCACTAACACTGATTTTACTGAAGAAATAATTTCTGAACCAAAACCTTTCAAAGCCACATATTTTACAATATGCGAGTATACAAGTCATTTTATACAATTGCAGAAGCTATCGCAAAATTTTTGTTTCAGGAAGTAACAAGACTGAAATGGATGTGTTTCAGATAGCAAGCCAAACTTCCGATGGACTGTGTGCCCGCACGAAGTTCCCCTTTGTGTTCCAACCGGGCACCTCTCTCTTGTTTGTCTGGGATTTCGTGGTGGTTGTGTCTGCTATCCTGGCGGCTGTGTTGTATCCGACGAGAGCTGCTGTTGGAAACGAAAGTTCATATAGAATTACATTACTTCTAATAAATGCTATATACGTGGCAGATTTTTTTATTAGTGTTATGACTGCCACTGATCACGATGGCGGTGAGTTCTTTTAATTCGGCCTTTTTTCATAAATTAAATGAAAATGTAAATGTGTTGCCAGTTTTGACTAAATAATTATGTTATGAAAACAAAAATTAATCAAAACTGGAAAGAATGTACAATTTTTTTTAATTTTTATTAATTAATAATTACGTAATAAGTGTAATTCCGTTTAGCGCTAAACATGAATATGGTACAATTTTTGAGAGTATGAAAACCGTTGCATCTCCACTAGTTTTACTTTCTCACTTTGTATTCTAAACGTAAGTATTGGAAGTAAAGTATTGTAATCGTACGTAGCAAATCAGCAATTTCACAACAGAAAAACTTATTGCCTGGCCCTGGTAACGCGAAAGTGGTTAAATCTTGTTCCTATAGGAAGTACATTACTTTCTATAACACGTTGTTTAGTCAAAATCGTTCTTACGGGTACATTAAATAAATACTCAAGATTTTCAAAATGTTCTCAAAAATGGCTACTATTTTTTTGATTTAACTTCGTCTTTAGATAGTGTAAAAAACGCTTAAAAAACGCTGCACGTCAAATTTTCATTGAAGTCCCCCAAAATTACGTGAAAACTACCATATTTTCGAAACATTAATGAAAATGACCTTATTTTAGGATATGTCTATCAACAAGTTTCCTTAAGGAAATAATCTCTATCTTAATTATTGTAGATGCCAAAAAATTAATTTTTTGCAATTTTCAAAAGTCAGGGACTGGATTTTGAACAAAAATGAGACGCACCATTTCTTTAAGAGTTCTTCGTGCTATCTGAAAACAGATTTTGAAAATTTGGGGCTATTTTTGAGACTTGCCGCGACCCCAGGTTCTATTCCCGGTCGGGCAAGATTTTAGTGGCTTTTTCCTTGCAATGTCCCAGTGTATGTTGCTGTGTTGTTGTCCCAATGTATGTTGCTAATCAAAAGTACCCCGTAACCCATGGCCGTAAGGCCGGGACGCTGCTTATAGACCCTGGCCCATACGCGGGCTGTCGTGCCAAGAACAGACACACATACAGAGGACAGAACGTGGTTCAGTGCAATAGAGACCCCAGAAGCTTCATCATCTTTTAATATAAGAAAACCTACTCAAATCTCCCAGTGCAATAATAACAGCACAGATCTCCTCTGCAACTTCAAAATTGTTCACTCAGGGCAGAGTTCCTTCTTTTATGCATTGTATATCTTCTCTATTAATTATATACAGGATTAGGTGGTTTCAAGAATTCGAGGACTGTATGGAATTGGAATTTGCTTTCGTAGAAATTTGGAATTCTTCCTACTAGAAGTAGTCTAAATGTCCGCTATTCACGTTTATTTAGTTTAGAGGATTGACAGCTGGTACTTGATAGAGTTGTAGGCTTATGTCCAGCCTCCTTTCTAAACCCTTTTCAACTCTTGATTAATACTTTTCCTCTACTTCAAACTTTGAAATTTAAATGAGATCACCTTTTCTCTTTCTCAATAATAACATAGCACAAAATGTAGAGTTCATTTATTGAATGTCAACTAATTCAGTAATGTAATTATTACAGAGACCCTGGTGAGACTTGGCGATATAATAACCTACAGACTTACGAATACTCGCTCTTTGCTGATGATACTCTGTGATATTTTGAGTTTTTTGCCTATTCATGTATTTTATAAATCAAATTCCCAATCTGTGATTCTCTTGTTGCATCTCAACCATGTCCTGAAAATATGGAAGGTATGTTAACTAAGGTGCAGTTGTCATTACATAATATGTCATGTAAATAAGCTCTCCACAGTCATCTTTAAAAAGTATTTTTCAGGATGATAAAAAATTACTTTAAAGTACAGTATACTTTGATGATAGTGTGAAAGGCTTAAATATTCATTTTAGAAGAACAAAATTAATAGTACTACATATATCAGACATTTCAAATTGGATTTACAGAAATAAAATTGTAAGAAAACAGGTACCAATAACTTTAAATGCCTAAAATCTGAATGTATTTCTTATATTTCTTTAGTGAATTTTGAAGTGCAACACCATCAGCAGAAAATGCCAGGTTAGCGAAAGGAAGTTCTGGAATATCAGACATGTGTAGCATAGGTTGTTGCACATGTCGTAGATTAGAGGGAAACGTGCAATACCTTGAGGAATTCCTGAATATATAGGACAATGAGTAGGATAGAAAATATTTATTTTAACTGAAAAGTTGTAGTTAATAAGACAGATTTTTATAATATTGAATAAATATAATGGTATTCCTGTTGTATGTAGTTAGTTATAGCCCACATTGCCCAACTTTATCAAAAGCTTGTGCAATTTCAAGAAAAAGTGACATGTGCAACATCAAGGCAATTGTGTGTTCTTTTTTATGAAAGCTATTAACTATTAATTCAAAAACGAGTCGAAGTTGAGGTGAAGTAGAATAATTTGAATGGAAACCGAATTAGTAATTTGGAATAGTTTGAATTGAAGAGACATAAGATAATAAGCAAGAATGTAATAGCTTTTTCAAACATTTTTGAAAATGCAGATTGAAGAATTGGTTGAAAATTTGCTGGCAAATGAGGGTCTTTGCCTAGTTTACAAATCGGAATTACATTAACTAGTTTTCATGTTTGCGGGATGTAAGAAATACAAAGAATTGAATTAAAAATATTTGTTAATTTAAATAATATTTGAAAATCAAGATCTTTATTATTTTTTGTTGAAATATGAGTCGTATCCAGAAGCTTTATGAATATAAAGTTGTTGAGTTATTTATTGGAGTCCTTTCGGTGAAATAAATGTAGTTTTTGAAGGGCTGGAATAAAGAAGAGAAAATATAAAAAAAATCACTTTATTATTGAATGTTTGGTGTATCTTAAGGATTAGTGTGAACAATTTTTCAAATGATCTGTAATTAAGTTTGATTTCTGAAGATCAGCATAAGCAAAGGATATGCCGTTGTTGTGTTGTGTTATAAGTGTATATGAATTGGCAAGTAAGATTTTGTTAGTTTTTAATGGTAGACCATTGGAGTCTGCTATTGGGATGTATTTGTAATATAATTTTCAAATTTGTTAAATTCATTACTGTCAATACATAATTTGATAGTAAGTGCTAATTTATTATTTGTTTTTTTAATACCATGGCGGTGTGTGTGTTGTGGAAATCATCTAAAGTTATGTCTAATTGATGTGTGTATTATGAAGAGGGTAGTTAATTTACAATGATGAAGAATTAAAACATATTTTTATATGGTGGAATCAAAATATAATTCTGGGAGGGGAGATTGAAATAATTCAAGATTCACATTTTTGATTGAAATTATATCTAATATATTAACCAGTTTTATATTACTATGATTAGAATAATAAGGATGTTTGAAAAGAGCATGTACGTCTAAATTTGTTTGTACACAGTATTGTTGCAAACATATTTTTTATTGATTAGAATTATTTGGTGGATGCGACTGTGTGACGGTTAGCCTACCGGACTGTTATACCCATGCTTGTGGGTTCAAACCCGATCGAAGCCGTGGATTTTTAGGGCGACAAAATCCTTCGTACGCCTTCCTTCGGAGGGGAAGTAAAGCCGGCTGTCCCATGTTAGTAGATTTACTTGCATGTAAAAGATCCTCAAGCCTAAATGACGCCTCTGAGCTAAATTCAAAATCGCCTGTTTGTCGCCCAAGAAATACCTCCTTTCTCTGCTAGATGAAAGGAGCTTAGCAAAATTTGCGTGGTCAGACGGAAGAGCGGGCCTAATGGCCTGAGTCTCGCCATGTAAAATAAGGCAAATTCAATTCAATTCAATTTCACCTCCCTAGAAGTGTTTGTACTGTCAAGGTCATCCATTATTATTACTGAATTTATGGATAAAAAGTTTATATTATGTATATATGAGTAGGAAAGGGTTTATTAGAGGGTTCATAAGTAGTATATAGTGTGCAGTATTTATTTTAATTTTTGTAGCAATGCATTATAAAATATTTTAATAAGGGAAAAACTTCGTTCATGAAAATAGTATTTTTATTATTATTGCTACTCCTCCTGAAGCAGATTAGAAATTCTGTCATTCTTATAAATATTATAACCTCTTAAATAAATTTTGTCATTGGGATTTAAGTGAGTTTCAGAGATACATGCTTTATTAATAATATAGAAAGACAAAAAATTATTTAAAATATCCTTTTGGCATTTTAGGCCAATTAATTTGTGTAACAGAGTCTAGATTTGTGTTGGTATTGTTACTCATGAAGAATAGATGGGAGAAGGTTTTGAAGCAGTGATTGAAGTTGTGGAATAATTAAAGATATTGCTTCTGAACAATAGTAGAAATTAGAGATGCATAACTGAAAATAGTAGGATGTTGTTTTAAAATATTAGAATAAGAAAATTTGAGGGATGTATTATTAGATAATGAAGATGGATGTGTACATTATAATAATAATAATAATAATAATAATAATAATAATAATAATAATAATAATAATAATAATTGTAGTATTCACGCATGATGAACGGTATTTATTTCTAATGAGTCCACTGCATCTTCTGCGTTGCCTGCCTGCGGGCAGTGGTCTCTGGAAGCAATAGATTGCTTCTCTGGAAGCACTTGCGGCCAGGTGTAGCTATAAGTGGAGGATGGAGGGTGCTTGCTATGGCGGCTGTAGTATATTCGGGGGTTATCCCCGATCAGGGGCCCGCCTGTTCAGCTCACTGATCACCACCGGCTCGCATGGCTGGTCACCTCAGCGGTGGCTCCGAAAGGTGCCCCGGCGCTCCCCAGGCAGCGGCCTGCTTTTCCGAGCCTTACGACGCATATTCCGTGTCTCCATATTCTCATAGGGTGTTTGCCATCCCCTGTTTGCCGCCAAATTTTCTGACGTTTGCCGTCCCCAGTTGCTATTCTCAAATTTGCTCGACGTAGGGATGGGCTTGGGAGGAC